GGGTGGAGGTGGTGGAGGTGGAGGAGGTGGAGGGAATGGCGAAGGCCATGGATGGGGCGGAGGAAGTGGTGGTGGTGGAGGCGGCGGTGGTGGTAGTAGTGGAGGAGGAGGTGGTGGGGGAGGTGGCAGTGGAAGTGGAGGAGGCGGTGGCGGTGGTGGCGGTCAAGGTGGAGGTTGGGGTTGGGGAGGAGGAGCTGGTAGTGGCGGCAACAACAAGGGTTGTTGGGCTTGGGGATGTGGTGGCCATCCAAAAGCAATTGGAGGAAGGAAAGGCAGTCCTTAGAGCTAATGCAAGGTTTGGTTTTGGGCATGCACATTGCATGAACAAACAAACTTTGTAGAAGGGTGCAAGAAATTGGACCAGTTTCCACGTTTATTTTGGATTATATTGCTTTTACTTTCTGAGCAAACTTTTGCCTCTTTTAAGATCAATATTTCTTTACACTGACAATGTGATGAAAATGTAATAAAAGATACCCAAGTAGGGAACTTTTAGTGAGTGGTGTGTATGTTGTGTTGAAGAGTTATTGGTGATTTGCCAAACACCTACCTATGCGATGCCAGAGAAGAAACTACGAATAAAAAGCTTATCATTTTATGTGCCTCCATCTCATATGATATCATTCTTTCTCATGTTTGCTTTAAATTGATCTTTTTCACTTTTACTGGAGCAGCTAATGCTTCACCTTTTGTGTTACAGATATTTCTTTGCACAATTGCACCCAAACTTTTCACGGAGCTTCTATAACGAGGGGTTATAATGAAGGGGTTCAATCCAACAGTCCAATAATAACTTTGCATTGAATCAAACCGTTATTGAGAACCTCCTCATTAACCCTTTACAAAAACCCCTCATTCTAACCTCCTAAGATTGAGTTAATGTAGAAATGTAAAGATTGCATTGACAGGCCTTTAGGGGAGTTAACTAGGGCCGGAGAGGCCGCCTTTTAGCAAATCTTACATCTTTCATCATGGGCCATTTGGCATTTTAAACTCTAAAACATACTAATATTAATGAATTGGGAGACTTATGAGGAAATCTGAAATGGGTTCGAATCACAAACAATCAATGGGCTCAATGATTGATACCAACTGCAAGTGAAACTATAAGCCTTGCACCAATATAGATAATGGTTTTTTTTTTTTTTTTGATATCTGCTATGTTATGTTGTCTAACGATTTATTAGCATTGTATATGTAAATAAGTAAATTTGGCAATGTGTCATATTTTACCGTGTTCGTGTTGTGTGAGATTATGTTCAACTCAAACTAGACACGTTAACTTATCAGGTCCAAATATATAAAAACTCAAACTCATTCGCAAAGTTTACGTGTTGTGTCGTGTTTGGTCCGAATACCTAATTTTTCATGTCTCTTCGTATCATGCATATCATTTTGTCAGGTCTACAAATAAGAATCCGATAAATATTGATATTGCTTATCGAATTTGACAAGCAAACATTGCCTACTAGCAATACTGAAACGAGGCCAAACGTGTTTTTTTTCTTCTGATCACATTAAAGCCTAGAGCTTGGGAGTTGTGTTGCAGACCAATTGCATATGCAGATTGCCAGATTCAAGTTATAATATACACATGCTAGCCTTATAATAATTCTAGATGAACGATCAAGTCAACAGAATTTAGACTTCTAATACTCAATAAACAAGTATGACTTGACAATTCCGATGATATTTTCTCATCAAATAATAACTCAATTCAATGGACCTACATATTGACTTTACAAAATCAACAACAATAATTTTTAAACATACGATAGGATTCAATAATGTGTGGGGGTCGTTTGATGCAGCAATCTTAGTGGTCCCTACAGCACATTCCAATGACTAAATCTTACTTCTCTTCTACCCCAAACAAAATAGCCATGCCGGCTCAATTTGCAAAGTATATCGTCAGTCACTCACACGTGCATGAACGATTTTCAACTAAAGTTCGTCCTTGTGCACTATGGCGATAAATATAGCAAAATTCATTTATGGAAATAACCCATATCTAGTTATCTGCAGTGGTAGCAAAAAGGTGTACCACTTTGCTAGATTAGATAGACATCACAGCACACAAAATGGAATCAACTTGCATTTCGCAATCAAATTATTCGTTGAGGTAATTAAGTCTAAGAGCAAAAGAGTAAAAAACAGAGGGATTATTGGAGTGAACAAGACTCGCACATTATTGGATGGGGCTGATAAGTTAAAACCCTCCTATTTGAAAACGAGTATAAGTACAAGAATTTTACAAGGCAGAGGCCAAAAGGCCGTTGATTCTTGAACAAACATTATGGTCAAAAAAGGTTGGGTGAGGTGGGTACAATCACTACTCACTAGCATGTGGGTGTTGAGAGAGAGAGAGAGAGAGAGAGAGAGAGAGAGCTCTTTTGCCTTTGGATTTTCCAAATGGAGGGCACGAGGCAATCCATTCCGCACAACATCACTACTCTTTTAAGTGAAAGGCCGGCCCAAAATTTTGACCACCTAATGTTTATGCAGAAATAAATATCTTAATTCACCTAATTTAACCACACATCTGCATCGCCATCATCATCAACATCATCATTGTTGTTGATGGCCTTGGGGAGAAAAAACAATGCCAGAAATTTCTTTCTATTTTCTGAATGCGACACATTTTCTGTTATCAAAGGCATCAACTCGATTCAAAACCCTAATTGATTCTATCACTCTATGCGTTGGACGTGTGCTACACTTTTCTCAACACACATAGTTTGATTATATAAAGTCCATTTGTATTTAATTAATGCATACTTCTTTTCTTCTCAACAAAGCGATATTTTAAACTACTCTTTTGCGCATACTTCTTTTCTTTTGGGTCATGGGCGTATTTTTTATTTTTTTTACTTGGGAGATATGATAAAGGTTTTGTGGAAGGGAAGGGAAAGCTGAGAAAGTCAAATACCTAAGCAAAATCAACATTTTTTTTTACTTGGGAGATATGATAAAGGTTTTGTGGAAGGGAAGGGAAAGCTGAGAAAGTCAAATACCTAAGCAAAATCAAAAGGCATGCAAGACCCACACAAGTGGACAAAGGCATCCCTTGTTAATGTTGCACTATTATGGACGTTGGAGAGAGTGGTTGGAACTGGTGGGAGATGGCCATCACGTAAATGCCACTCAACAATTATGGTAGGGCACCCAGTTGCCATGGCATTTTGCCCACACTTGGTAATTTCTTATGCGTTTAGGTTTTATGTTAGCTTTGGTTTTGGTAGGAAGGAGGCCCCGGAGGGGCCTGATTTTGAAATGCTCTTTCATTATTATGGCTACAACCAATGGAAGTAGCTGAAATTCTTGGCACTACTTTTTTAGCTTCTTCCCTTCAAAAATCAATATTTATAAATATTAAATAGAAGGAAGTTGAGTTTTCATTTCAAAATCAATTGACGATGGGGAAGTAGTCCAACACCTTACAAGTTCTTGCAAAGTTTTCTAACTTTCCAATGTTGGACATTTTCACCTTCACATTGTCACATGTCCCGCACGTGTGATGAATTTTCAAGTCTAACACGTAGACAACACATATTGAGTGACATGTAGCCGTTAGGCTTCACACATAAACAAACCCCATCTAATACCATAAAGAAAGTTGAGTTTCCACCTAATATATTAGTGTTTTCTTGTAAAGATGCGAGAACAAGAAAATACTTTATATTTGACTCTTGATAGTCATGTCTATGTTTGAGTACAAGAATGTGTTTTTTTCTACTTGGAGCCTTGGAATCTTTTATTATTCAAATAATGAAAAGGATACAATTGAGTATCCATTGGGTTGTAATATTTATTTAGTTCAATTCCAACACTAAAATATTTATTTATTATATATTAAAAAAAAAGGTATAATTAAGTTGCCCATTGTGCTATTGAATATACAACAATTAGTCCAATCTTAGTTTGCTCTTGCTGTCTAATTCGGCAAGCAGCAAGGTTTACAAAGACAAAGAATAATAGAATGGAAGGGACTTGTATTTTGACTGAAGACAAATGTACAAGTTTTAGGCATAATTTTTGATATAATATTAGGGATGTGACGACAAATGGCATGCGCTTTGTAACTTAGCATTTCTATATGAATTGAATTCACATGGCATCATATTCCCGCCAGCAACAACGCAATTTCGAGGTATATTTGAAAACTTCTCTGCAGTTTTACCCCCACTCAACTCAACATATATAATATATCAAACCTAATGCATCTCTTTCCACACACACACACACACAAGCACCAAAAACACAAAAAGGAAGAAGTGTTTGTATTAGGTTAGAATCATAGGCCTCTAATTCGTACTTATTTTGCTTTAGCCAAAGCATGATATTTACGGCGGCATTCGCTTCTATCAGTTGTTGAATTCACTTACATCAATGGTTGAAAGCCGCCTACACGTCATCACTGTATTTAGTTAGCGTAAAGAGACTTATAAAACCGAAATTGTTGTAATGAATTTTAAAGGAGTTTCCGTTTCGGAATCAAGAAAGGGTTAGTGAACTTTTTGTACATACTTTGTAAGCAAAAAATCCAACATGGAATGATGAGTCATAGCTTGGTGGTAATTATGGCTGTCACCACTTATATGTGTGCCCGCGGCATCCTCTTTTAAATTCTGAAATGGACTGTGACTTAGTAAATGGCTTCGGCTTATCGACTGTTACCTGATATTTTTTTTTCGCCTTTAAAGCCTTCCATGGCCAATGCATGCTTTTAAACCTCGGACAAATATCAATATCCACTGTGAAATGCGAATGCGAATGGCTCCAAACCCAGCACCAAAACCCAAGAAAGAAAGAAAAAAATAACCCTCATCACATCAGGATTTGCAGGCATCGAAGCATCTCCTTTTAAAATCCAACGGTCAGGATTCAGCACAGAACGTGCAGTTTACGCCACGAGAAATTATGTCGTTTAGAGAAAAGCCTTGGCCTCTCTCGTGGCGCGCTCGCTCATAACATTCATGCTTTCCAACGGCCACCAAATTAAAAGGGTTTTGAACGGTTTCAAATTCACTCAAAGGGTCAGTTTCGACAGACCACCAAATCTCCTCCTTTTCCCTCTAAAAATCGAACCAAAAATTAGGGGCAATTAATTAATTTAATTATAACCCAAAAAGATTAGAAATAAAACTTTAATTTGGAGAATTAAATTAAAAACAAACCAAGAATATAATTTAAAAATTAAGTACATATTAAGTAAACTAGTAAAGTCCTGCCTAATCAGTTACATGCCTACAAACCTACCGCACCAACCCATGCAAAGGAAAAACGAAAGAAAAAATGTACACTAACCCGGCCTGTTCGAACCGGGTTCAATCTAATCTAACCCCGGTTCACATTGTCCTCTTCCCTACTTGCTAACTAAAGTTTTAAACCTTTTTCTTTCTGCCTAACCAAAACTGGGCACCACCGGAGGTCTGGTCAAACCGGGTTCGGGCACGCCGGGGACATCCTTCTTCTTCCGCATCTCTAGAACTTTACGGTGGTGGTTGGAGTGCAACTCGCTCGAGAAAGTCGGGCTGCATGCGGGTCGATATTCCGGTAAGAGCCGACCCGACTTGTAACGGACCCCACAGGCGTTACAGAGGGTCTTGGCTCCATTGGGCCCGGTTCTCCACTGCGGGGTCTTCTGCACCCCACAATGGCTGCACCGACGAGGCGGCTGGCTCGAGCTTCCATCCACCAGTCTTCTCTTGGGCTTCTTCGGAGGCTTCTCCACTGACGCGACCGGTTCCCCGCCCGCTTCGGCCGGCTCGTGGTTCTGGGTGGTGGGGTAAATGAGCCAGGGGCTCGACGGAGACGAAGAAGACGACGAGGAACTAGAACTCGAGGATGTCTCCGTCAACGACGGTGACCCCAGTGACCAGACCCGGCCGCCAGTTCGGGTTCGCTTGCTTCTGGCCTTGGCCGGAACCGGAGTCTTGAAACAGGGTTTTTCGGGTAAAGGCGTTGCCGGGTCGGGTCGTTTCTCAGTCTTGGGCTTCTCGGGGATGAACCCTGCCGGCAGAGACGTAGTGAATTCCGTGAAAGATTCCTCGACAAAATGAGACAACCACTCGAGGTTTTCCAAGTCGTCCGCCTGTAAAAATGGTAGCTGTTGGTCAAAAACCACAACCCAAGGCCTCAAAAAGGGTCAAAATCACCATTTTTAAACATGGAAATTGGGAAGAGAAAGTACCGGAACGCTGAGTTCGCTGGTGGGTTCGGGCCCAAGTTCGTTTTTGTCAGACAAATCCGAGTTCTCAGGGTCCTGGGGTTGTTTCTGAGGCGAAACAGAGGCAAAGCCCTTGACTTTATCTTTATCGTCTTCCTCAGCCTCTGTTTCCACAAACCCATCTTCGTTCGAGAAGTCAAGGAGGTCATCGACTGAGAAATCGTCACAAGCGACACCGTTTTGTCCATTGACGCCGCCCCACAACAAGTCATCAAAAACCACTTGTGGGCTCGCCTTGACAGCCATCTCCTTCCTAATACTGGTCTTCAGGGCCGCTTCCACGCATTCCATTTCAGTTTCAACCTAAGACAACAAAACCAGAAAAACCCAAAACCAAAATAAAGCAACATTCTTTCTTTCACTAAACACATAGCGGTTACAGAAAACAACAGGAGGAAACCCAAGCCTTTTTATTTGATTAATTTGAAGACAAAAATGACATTTTTTCATGTATACCTGTTGTGGAGGTAGAGGTGGACGACAGGTTAAGAGCAGAGGAGGATGAGGAGAGAGAGAGGAGAGGAGAGAGGTTGAGGTTGAGGTTGAGGTTGAGGTGGTTGAAGAAGAAGAAGGGATTGAACAAGTAAAGGGATGAAATTGGAATAAAAAGGAGTGGTGAGTTTGGTAAAGCATTGAATTAGGGCTGAAAGCGTCCGTGGCCTATACTAAAAGTGCCCGTTTCTTTCTCTCTCTCTCTCTCTCTTTTAATTTACCTTTTTTTTCTTCTCTCCCCACCCATCCACTTTATATATCCACCTATACTGTTCTCTGTATTTACACTTTGGATACGTTTGCAGTCTGTGTACTAAATAAACCGTACTGTTCATAAATAAATATATTTGTTTTAGTAAAAATAAATAAATATGGAAAAATATTCTTTTTTCTGTCTGAAATTACGAGGACTGCCCTTTTGACTGGATTTTAATATTCTTTTTTCTTTCTGAAATTACGAGGACTGCCCTTTTGACTGGATTTTTCTTCCCTGTCTGGGTTTTGTACATATATGGGTAGGCCAGGGCGGACCATATCCACAGACAGCTCCCACCCATCTTTATATAACTTCCATTTTCTTTTTTGTTTTTCTTTTTTGTTTTTGTTTTTTGTTTTTGTTTTTGTTTTAATTTTGTAATTTGTAATTTGGATTTTTGGGAGGTGAAGTGGGATAAGAATTATAGGGTGCGGTTCGTCCCACCCTAACTAACCACTGCGTCGTGAATACCTAGGAAACCGCCACCTTTGTGTATTTTTCCTTTCTTTTTACTTTTCTTTGAGAAGGAAAGGAATTGGCCATTTCTTTTGACTAATTTACAACATCATCCTACCGCGTTGATCGCCGCTCGTTTTGGTTCTTCACCACTCGAAGCTTTTGTTTCCCCGCTCATAGTTTTCGCACTTTATTACGAACTCAACCGAAATTGGCGCATTGCTTATTTGTTCCTCTTTTTCTTTTTTTGTTCTCACTAAATCTCTTGTTTTTTTAAGTGCTTATCAAAAAACTAAATTGAACTGGAATATATCCATTTAGCTTAGATTTTGCCGTTAGATCCCGTTTTAATTAATAGTCCATAATCACTTGCATTAACAACGTACGATCTAAATATAGTTCATTGCTTCGAAAAAGTAAGGGAGCACAATTCTTTTGTGTTGAACATTACTTAGCTCCTTTCATTTAAGGAGGCAATTCATATGTTCTTACAAATTACTGTCTAATATATTAAAAAAACTCATTTAAATCTCTTGTTTTTTTAAGTGCTTATCAAAAAACTAAATTGAACTGGAATATATCCATTTAGCTTAGATTTTGCCGTTAGATCCTGTTTTAATTAATAGTCCATAATCACTTGCATTGACAACGTACGATCTAAATATAGTTCATTACTTCGAAAAAGTAAGGGAGCACAATTCTTTTGTGTTGAACATTACTTAGCTCCTTTCATTTAAGGAGGCAATTCATATGTACTTACAAATTACTGTCTAATATATTAAAAAAACTCATTCAAAACACATGTTAATAATAACTCCATTATTCTGAAAATTAGACAAGCATTTTTCTTCTAGTGTTTACTTCTATAATTGCATGGCATTGATGATTTCTTTTTCTTTTTTTTTTAAATGGTGAAAAACATTGCCCCTTGGCTCATATTCAAAATTAAAATAACTTGTGAAATATAGAACACAAATATGAACTATGTTTGGCACACTTGATACATTTTTCTCTGTCCCGTTCGCTTAAGAATCTAAATATGAGGACCTGTGATATCCTGTTTAATAAAAGTTCTTGGATTAATACAACGGCACACATAATTAATAGTCTTTACCCTCCCTTATACTCCTTGGGTGAGCGAGACTGACATTTCCTCTATTAGAGAAGGAATTCTAAACTGCATTTGCTTAAAAGACAAAAAAAAACAAAAAACAAAAACTGTAGAGTAGTATAAATTAACAGGGTTTTCTCTATTTTCCTTCCATAATTCTTGAGAATTTGGAGTAAATGGCGGCAATGAACATGAATACGATATGAATTGTTTGATATCATAAATCATGGCACATACGCAGCTACCATTTGACACTTGTACTCCAAAATAATTAATACAGCTACTAATTTTCTACACGTTGTGTGATCATGACAACATATTAACGAGTTTTCTTCAAGTTGTGATTAACCAGGGCAATTAATTCAGGTTATATCCAACGTGTTAATGTTTTGTGATGTGTCGTAAAACTATTGGCCCGTAGACGCAATACAATGAGTCCAAGCATATTTGACAGGTCACTAATTAATTAGTACTGTATCCCACTTTTATCCACGTATATACATCACCTTAATTAATTTTCCATATAAAACAAAGAAGAGAATCACTGTATCTCAACAAACTGAGGCAAACCAAATTGAATTATTTTATTATTTTGGTCTGATAACCCAAGTTGAATTGATCCATAATTTTAATCAATTCATGAATTGAGGCCAGCCCAGAAATTGGTACGACCAAATTTATATGGTACCCCTGGACTGGAAAACCAAACTCCAATCTGCAATCTCCATAATGATCAAAGTTCAACGACAGTACATACATGGCTTAGAAGCAACGAAAGGCGCAGAAAAGTGATGATACGAACCAATGAGTCAATGACATGGGTCCAGCTTTTGTCTCCAACCTCTTCCAACTCAAATGATTCCCCTTCATTTTTATTTTTATTTTTATTTTTATTTCCATATAAATAGGTCTTCTTGTGTGCTGAGCACTGATCGAACCCTCATATTTTTATTTCCATATAAATAGGTCTTCTTGTGTGCTGAGCACTGATCGAACCCTCATATTTTTATTTCCATATAAATAGGTCTTCTTGTGTGCTGAGCACTGATCGAACCCTCATATTTTTATTTCCATATAAATAGGTCTTCTTGTGTGCTGAGCACTGATCGAACCCTCATATTTTTATTTCCATATAAATAGGTCTTCTTGTGTGCTGAGCACTGATCGAACCCTCATATTTTTATTTCCATATAAATAGGTCTTCTTGTGTGCTGAGCACTGATCGAACCCTCATATTTTTATTTCCATATAAATAGGTCTTCTTGTGTGCTGAGCACTGATCGAACCCTCATATTTTTATTTCCATATAAATAGGTCTTCTTGTGTGCTGAGCACTGATCGAACCCTCATATTTTTATTTCCATATAAATAGGTCTTCTTGTGTGCTGAGCACTGATCGAACCCTCATAGGTGTGAGTTCAAATTACGAAAATACATAGGTGTGAGCAAGGATGGACCAGGAAATTTTATAGGAGTGGACTAATATTTTTTAATACGAGATCCATTATATTACCTTGTTTTTTCTTTTTAAAAACAGGTTTACATGGTTAATTGGCTATAGGCTATATGTTTATTTTTACACGCAAACGCAAAGAAAATGAGTGGTAGCAACTATTCTTCAATTAACAATTTTTAAATTTTATGGGAGTACACATAAACACAGAGAGTGCAGTCATATAGATCTATAATTGCACAATCACAAGCTACAAGCATTCAACAAAACCAAAAGACAACTAGACTATATAAAAGCAGAGATCAAGTAATTAATAGATTTAATCATAAAAATGACGAGTCATCAATAAAATCCTAGTAAGTTGCAGAAGAAAAAAAATCCCCAAAATTTAATACCCAAATTCTAAATCATAAAAAGTTAACAATAACAATTGAAATTTGAAATTAAACAAAAAGTAAGAGAGAAACTTACTAATATTAAAGAACCCATTGAATATAGGTTGATACAATTTTAAAGAGGAAGAGACCTACTACTTCTAAGCTCTCAAGTTCAAATATAAAGTTATAGCTTACATGGATGGTAATAGAAAAACATGATGTTTGATGTGTGTGGTTGCCTATAGAGATGAAATCTTATGGTTGTGATAGGCTAATTTCAATAGAGAGGGGTGGACTATTTTTAATTAACTTGGGTTTGACTTATAAAATTAACATTAATTTTTTTCATCTCCAAATTTAGCACTAGGTTAGAGTCCCACACTAGCCCATGCCTAAATCCGTCCTTAGGTTTGAGTTGTGTTGTGACACTGCTGCGTGATGTTATTAGGGTATGTTGTTAAAAATAACAATAACATATGCTATAACATTATATTGGTGCACGACACCACGCGACGCTCTAAACCCCTACACTATCAAATTGAATAATTTATAATTAAAAAATTGATAAATTGATATGGCTATCAAATTCCGATCTAATAATATTATTATTAAAGTGGCAATTTTGCACTTAATGCCAAACCTACTCTATTTGTTGAAAAGGACTTGCATGTCACGGGTGATAACACTATTTTGTTATCTCCATCCAATCACACTTCATTATATGAAATTTTTATCATATATGACGGAATATAATTGATTGAAATAACAAAACAATTATTCATGTAATCTACAATTTTTTCTCCTCACTGTCACGTGTTCCAAACCCTCTCTTAAATTATTAGTGAACGCCAGTGGTTGAGTGACTCAGCTCAGATGCGGTAGGGGTGGTTTTGTAACTTCCCGCGGAATAAAAATCGTCAATGGAAACAAAAAAACGAAGAGAGAGAGAGAGAGAGAGAGAGAGAGAGAGAGAGAGAGAGAGTCAAAATACGTATTTTGAGATTCCAATAGTTGACGGTTTACTAGATGGGGATGGTAAAACAACAACATGTATAAAGAGCCGGCTTCGTAGACTTCCCTTGTCGTTTTCAGCCGCCCAAAGTCGTTTGCTCACGTGGTGGGTTACTATTGGACAGGTGACGTTGCCCAATAAGTCATACGTTATTTTTTCTTTCTTTCAATTATTAGAATTCTTTTTTTTAAGTTTTAAAATTTTGAAATTTGAAAATCAAATTTTGAAAATCAAAATTATGGAAAGGAATGACGACGAAATAGTTTTATTATTATTATTTTTGTTCGGAAAAAAGTAAATAAACGAGTGGGCTTGAAAATTGAATGCGGATTGGCCCTCCTCGGCATATGGAGCCCAACCAGGATACAACGGGGTGCCCCAAATGATATATTTTTTTAAAAAGTGATTGGACGGAAATGCCCTTGGAGTTGGAGCGTGCTGTTGTTTGTGATGATGGTACGGGAAAGTGATGAGAAGTGAAAATACAAACAGAAAGTACGGAATCTTGTGAAATTTCCAATGAAGAAGGTGACTCATGTCTTATATATGTCTGTCCAGTGTCTTTTGTTGGCAATACGGTGCCTTCTTTCA